CACACAGGGTGGCTAAATTCCTAGGGTACAGCCGCATTCCAGAGTGAACTCACTAAATCTCTGTAATATCGAAATTATACAGTGAAGTAACCGGTGGGTGAGATTGCAGTCTTCCGGGCAGTTGGGCAGCCTTGCTCAGATAGTACCCAGAGCAGAGGAGTTATTTTTAAGATTAATTTTTTAAGTGACTGAATTTCTTTTTCCTACTCCAAAGGATAGTATTAAAATAGACAGAAATATCACTGCTGCCACCACCACAATTTAAATGGCTCTCCTGGGGTGTTCCGTATGATTGAACAGTACACTCATTGCTTCCTCCATTTGGGGAGATTCGTCAAAGAGTTATGATTGACTGCAGTGAGGTAGCAGATCTCACATTGCTGTCCGCACAATAGACTGCTCTCATCACGGCTGTTAGCAACACATTACATACAGCCCGGGGATTAATCACTATTTCCGGCTTCCTTAGGAATATGCATGCCTTCTGACCACAGCCATTTACCGCGAGGGGAAATTGAGGAAAGCATCGTTGAAAACCTTGGTAACGACCACAGCACCTTGGATGGATATTCCAGAAGAACCACGCTGACTTCAAAAATATACCACACCAAAGGTAGTCAAAGGCTTTAAAGACCCAGCCGCCCCGTTTAGCGTTATCAGAAGCTCATTTAGAGTTCTCTTAATGAAACAGTGCAGGCCTAATGGTAACTCATTCTCCTTCTGTCTCCTCCACAGGACAAGAAGGTTCCATCTGCCTCCGATCCTCAGATTGTGCCACGGGGCTGTGTTGTGCGAGACACTTCTGGTCCAAGATCTGTAAACCTGTCCTCAAAGAGGGTCAGGTGTGCACTAAGCACAGGCGGAAAGGCTCCCACGGGCTGGAGATATTCCAGCGCTGTTACTGTGGGGAAGGCCTGTCTTGCAGAATACAGAAAGAGCATCACCAAGCCAGTAATTCTTCTAGGCTCCACACCTGTCAGAGACACTAACCTGACTGTCTAACTGTGACGGACTCCTTTATCTAATATATGCTGCGAACCCCTTTGTTATTTCTCAGCTGGATCCCAAGGATGTACAAATCTTCTGCGTAGAGTTAAGCATTCCGATAACACCGTCCAAAAGTCTGGAGTGTAAGGACTTTGTTTCTTGATGGAACTCATCTGTGATTGCAGTAAATTACTGTGTTGTAAATCCTCAGTGTGGCACTTACCTGTAAATGCAACGAAACTTTTAATTATTTTTCTAGAAGTGCTACATTGTCTTGTTTCTTTTCCATGTAAATTTTTGTACACATTGATTGTCTTGACTCATAAATATTCTATATTGAAGTGATTTCAGCTTATAGTTCCTAAATGTGTAAACCTTTCTCCTTTCATTTCTAGTGTAGAATGCAAGAAGTTCTTGGAATGATAGACAAGTAAAATTAACATGAAAATACTAGTTTATTTCCTGTCTTTGCTTAGATAGTCCTCTCTCTCACCCAGCAGAGACAGTCAAAGAAAAAAAAATGAAGAATGAACAAAAAAAAAAACAAACAAACATACATACAGGAACAAACAGCGAACGGAGGGGTGTGTGTGTGAATGTGTATGTGAGGGGTGTTGTTTTAAAATGAAAAGACATATGTCTATGTATGAGTAATTTTAAAGAGAATGTATTCAACATTTATGAATTCAAATGGTTATGGTGATATGGGATTGAACCTGATAGTACTACTTTCAAAAATATTCTTCTACCAGGTGTGGTTGGTTGTTTATGCATATAATCCCAGTATTCCAGAGCCTGAGGCAGGAGGATTGCCCATGAATTCAGGTCCACCCTGGCCAACCTAGTGAGATCCAAGGAAACTTCTGCTACTGAGTGATGCTCTGTCTCAAAAAAGCATCAAAAAAATAGTTTCCAACAAATTAATATTTGTCTAAATGGCCAGTAGTTATTGGAAGGAAGGGGATATCCAAGAAAGTAATTCCAAAGTATGTGATGATGGGCAGGATGAAGAGGAGGTTGTGTGGAAACATGGTGAACAAGTACATGCCAATTTAAGCCAAATAACTAATTCAGAAATATTTTAGATACTCTGACATATGCAAGAAGAATTGTTGTAATTATTTTGATTTAAAAATAATTACCAAACAACCACAAGTTCTAGAATGTCCTGCTTTTTCTTCTCTTGCCAGGTGATTATTTCAATTTTTGCTTCTCCTGTATTGAATTGATTAGAATGAGGATAGGGATGTATGGCTTTATAAAAAATTGAATATATATATTAGATTTATATATACATATATTACATAATAACACACACATATATGTATATATATTTCAAATCTAAATTTTCTGTGTATTTTTCCTTGCCTAAATTTGATATTTCTATTGGGCAAAGGACAAAATAGCCTTCCTAATTTATTTATTCTGTAGTATTCTGAAGGTCTGCATCAAAACCACAAAACACTGGGTTCGCTATTCAAAGGACAGTAGTGACTGACTGACTGTGCCAGCAGCTCCTTAAATAGTCCAGATGTCCTAGAATAGTCATTGGTTTTTGTGTTCCCGGAAGTGGTTAATTTTCAGGGGAGTCGGGCAACAGCACATGCACTCCGTTGGCTCACTGAGAGGGGACCTGTCAGGATGTCTGTGGCTGTGTCCCTTTGGTCCACAGGCTTCTGCTTCTTCGTCCAGAGAAACGCTCTTCTCCTAAGTGTGCTGATTGCCTGATTTTGTGCAAGGAAAACCAATCCCGAGGCCTGCCATCTTCAACAAAACACAATAGAGGAAAGGAAATGGGGAATTGTTTCATGAAGTGGGAGAAAGCAGGGCCTTCTAGAAGGGGTGTGGGGCAGATGTTTAATGTGCTCTGGTTACTGGGCCCTTTCTATAGGAGCCAGCTGGAGTGTAGATGTCCTTCTCTGCACATCCCATCAACCAGGCTCAGGTCCAACCATTTCTGCTGACCTTCAGGATGGGGCCAGAGAGATCAGGCAACCTCTTCTTCCCACTGCACTGAGGACTAGGGACAGTATTAAGAAAAGGAAAGTATATATTTATGAAAGCTAGAAGAGAGAAGTCATATACAATACAATCCCAAAACAGGATCTCAGGGAATCTAGAATATGATAGCTGGCTCAAATGTTTTGTGGTGGTTAACTCCTAAACAATGTATTTGTCTGCTTGCCCATGCAAACATTTCACCAGCTGTTTTATCAATTTAAGCTCACATAGGCTACACACTGCCCTGCTTGATCTCTTTGCTTTGAGTGTCTTGATTATCACCCTATATGACAAAAGAGAGGTGACTCAACCTTTTGGTTGGTTGCATTATTTATAGTCTGTTCTCTGATTTGCTTAACCTGGCACTAAGAGACAATCAAGTAGTTTTCAGAGTTATTATTTTCATATGTACTGTGCTGTGAGCATAAAATCCTCCCGTTTCATCATAGTATAGTTGTAGGATGATGACTGAGTTTTGATATAAACTTTAAAATCAAATACTGTGGTGTTTGTTTGTTTGTTTGTTTGTTTGTTTGTTTTACCTACTCAAGGTCCAGCATAACCACATGGCATGATTCCTACTTATGTGGTGATACGCTCTTACTAAAATGTGTTAAAGGAGGAAAAGGAGGCATACAGTTTTTCTTAAAAGGTTTACAGTAAACATTATCTTATCCATGGAGGCTAACTTACTCTAACTTCTTCCATATTAAAATGGTCACACTGAAACCATAAGTCCCTCAGCTCCTTCTCATGTTCAGCTGGAAGACTTGAAATATTTGTCCTCATTTTAAAATAGTTTCTTTCATTTTAATATTATAATTACATCACTCCATCCTTCCCTTTCCTCCTTACAAACCCTCCCATATAGCCTTCCAAATTCACGGGCTCTTTTCGATTAATTTTTCTTACTCACATATATGTATAGACATATATAATCCTAAATGTAACCCGCCCAGTCTGTATAATGTTCCTTGTGTGCATTTGCAGGGCTGTAAACTTGGTCCAATGTGGTGACAGGATCAAGGGTAGGATTCCTTGTCTAAAAGCATAACTAGAGGCAGCAGAAACGGCGAAGACCATAAGAGAACACACTCCACAAGCATGAGGACCTGAATTCAAAACTCCAGAAACTACATAAAAATCCCTTGTGGTTGGTGGGTGTGTGGCAGTGGTGGGCAAAGACTGACCTGCAAATACTAAGCATGGTCTTCCCAATGAGCTGTGTCCCGATCCTCCCAGCCCCTCAATGCAGAATTATCACTGGAGAGCGGTGGCAGCTGGCCCCACGCTAATATAAATCATTAAACAATTCCACATTTAAAAAAGCTAAACTTGGGAAAAGACATGAATCATGACTAAGCATAACTCAACATTACATTTTACAATATTTCACAACTTTCTCCTTATGGGCGGAAAAAAAAACAATGACTTTTTAAAAGAATGTTATATTGAAACCTTTCACATATCTGTGACACTCTGAAGTTCAAATTCAAAGCAGATGAGAAAATCTGGTTGAACCATGAGGGGTTTTGTTGTTTGGGAAAGATGTCTTCAGGCAATCACTATGTCAAACAGCACAAATGTTTCTTTTTCTTCCTATGAGGAAGATCAGGGACCCAAACTTATCAAAAAAGTTAGAGGCACCATGTGTCCTTGGAGGAAGGTGGTTTTGCCCCAATTGTTTCACAGAGATTACAGAAATTGAAGAACAGGAAAATGCTAACATGGATAGTTACCTGATCCACATGCAGGTGGTAGCAGGAAGGTCATTTGGGGAGGCCATGGATGTTGGTGTGGGTTGTCTGTTCCATGTGTTGAGAACTGTGAGTAGAATATAAACCTAGAAGAGATGCTGTTTGCCTTGTTAATGAACTTGCTGTAATTAGACATCATGCAGGAGTTAGAGATAAATTATTTGAATGGACTGAGATGTAGCCCTTTTGCTACTGCTATGACAGAATGACAGACTGAACAGCCCAAGAGAGGAATCATCACAGTTTATTCTGATCACAGTTACACAAGATTCATGCCATGGTTTCTTATCCTCCGAAAGCAAGGATACTTTATAGAAGAAATTTATTTTTTTTTCTTTATTATGAGTTTTTCCTCTTGGAAAAAGGGTTTGTATACCCTAGATTGGCATCGATAGTCTTGAATCCCTGATCCTCCTGCCTCTGATTCTCAAGTTCTGGGATTGGCATGTGTCACCAGGCTTGGCTGGCGGGGAGACGTCTTCATTCGGACATCTTCCTTCATGTTGGGCAGGAAGCAGAGAGATCGGAAGTGGTCAGGGATAATGTACCACCAAGAATCTATTCCTAGTGACCCAGTTCTTTCAGTTAGACCCCACATTGCAGGTTTCTCCAACCTCCCAAAATAGTTCCACCAGCTGGGGATCAAACATTCAAAACATGAGCCTGATGGAGACATTTCATAGTAAATGAAGAACAGATGAACACACAGTATTCTGAATATTGCCTTTCCTTTCTCTTTCTCTTTTTTATTTTCAGTATTGATGTGCCTGGTGGCCAAACTGTTAATGTCTAGTCTACTAACCAGCTCACTTAGGAGAGTCACATAAATACAAAAGAAGCATATTCCTCAAATGAACTAGATAGCATGAAAACGTTCACTGTTGCTTTTAGTTTTTCTTCTGTTACTATAAGAAAATACCCTGACAAAAGCACTTAAGGGGAAGAGGTTTTATTGTACTTTTAGTTCTAGAGGAGTAGTCCATCCTGGCAGAGAAGACACAGCAGCTGGTATGGAAGGTATGGTGACAGCAGCAGGAGGCTAGTTGGCCGATTGCATTCACACTCAGAAAGCAAAGTGAACGGGATGTGGGGGCAGGCTACACAGCCTGAAGTCTGCCTACACTGACCCACTTCTAGCCATGCTCTACTTCCTAAAGGTTTCACAGCTTTTGGGACCAAGTGTCCAGGTGAGCCTATAGGAACATTTCACATTCAAACAACAATGCACCTTAAACCGGTGTAACAGAACTATTTCTAAGGAAGACAGGACCAATCTGAAAGTACTCCTAGTTTGCTGCAAAGAATCACATGCTTTGGGTGCCACATAGACATTCTCTTCACACCGGCTAACTCACCTTCTGTTCAGTCTGCATTGTGGGCTGACGGGTGGGCCAAGGGTCCAAGGACTGGTTACTTCTTAAAGAACCATGCCCCCAAAGGGCATATTGTATAACTTATAAAAGCCCCCACAACTGAAAGAGTGTGTGAAAAAGTGTGTGTGCATACACACACATAAACACAAGTATGTGTCTGTGTGTTTAAACCAAACCAAGAAAGCTTACAGGAGCACAGCATACAGATACCATTAGCTTCAGCATGACCTTATAAACACAAGAATAACTTAATTATGGATTATAGTTTAACTGCTGTGCATTCTCAAGATTCTATTTTACACTACTGTCGTATCAGGATAATTTTGAAATGTCATTGTGTAATAGAAGTGTGCATTTTTGTGTTAATGTGAAAGTAGATATGAAACATTTAACTGTGTGCAGTGTGTTCAGTTTTGCTGTAATGATCATAAATGTTAAGTTAAACAAATTCCTATTTGAAGAAGCAGAGGATACATATCCATGTTTGGCATGGGTACAAAAGTCTAGATGCCGTCAGTGGAGAAAGCAATGATTTTACCTTTTTTCTGAAGTGCAATCTTGGCATATGTTGTAGGTGAAAATAATCTTTTATATAATAATTAGATTTCTAGAAATTTATCTTAAGCACAGAAGTATAGCTGTGAAAAGGTTCATTTTCAGTGATGTAATAGCAAAGTTATCAGTGGATTAAATGTACAACAAGGCAGAAATGTTTAGGTAATGTATGTATGCCATTAAAATTCTGCAATGAAATTCTATGATTAATCCTGCATTAAAATGATCTGGAAAAATGATAGGAATCTCCCTAGGTGTGAATGTTAGAAAGTGGCATACATGATATCATGGGAACATCAAATATCTAGTCTAATTCTACAATGCCTTTTTGGAAGGTAGACTTGTGAGAATTACTTAATCTCTGTTTATTCTTTCTATATCAATCATGTAAGATATTATATACTCTAAAGGCAGAGTGGGAACTCGGATTTTTCCATGTAAACTATGAAGTAGACCTCTTGATAAGTTACATTTCGACTAGGAAAACCAGTTAGTTCTGAGTTACTCTCACAGATTTTCCCAAAATTATAAAAGAGAAAAATCCTCTGCTTACTGAGCACACTGCTTTCCAGTAAGATACTAACCATAATAAATGCCACTGGGAAGAGCAGCTGGAAAATTTGTTAGAAGAGAGCCAGGGGTATAGAAAATGTGATAGAGGTAGCTACGTCAATTTTACTGAGATTACAATAAAATAGAACATTAAAATCTAAAACAGGAACAGGAAATAGGCAAATAAAAACCAATCACAATTATACGTTAATAAACGCTCCCATTTCTCCTCTCATCTTGGCTCTACTCTGTGTTTACATTGTTAACTATATGCTGTGATGAACTGGAAGGGAACCTACATTATGTGAATACATAAAACCATGTGAGCAGGACATGACCTTTAGTTTAGACAGCTTCTTTGCTAAGAAAAATCTCACCATTCTCCTGTTGAGACAGTTAAACTTTTAGGCAGCCTGTCTTGGAATCTTGCTGCTTGGGCGATTGAATTTCATAGCTAATATAAACAGAAAGCCGGAGACAGCAAAGAGCCTGGAACATATTTGCTCTGAGATTCTACACATTTTGCAGCTCTTTTCTTCAGTCTCAATCATTTTTTTTTTTTTATCAAGGAGTGCCAAGTGCTCTCAGATCCTAACACTTAAATGACCTCCTGTAGAAAATGTTTAAGACAATCAAATGCATCAGCACTCCAGCATACTAAGCGTGTGGTCTATTGTCAGGGAAACAGAAACAAGCTTCCTTTTTTTTATAGTCACACTTCATTTGACAACTTGCCCTTTGCTACTGACATTTTTTTCTTTCTTTAACATTCTTTTGTTTATAGTTATCATCCATTCTTTTTTGTATCAACTCCTTGCCTTCCCCACAGGCTCTCAGTAGTTTAACTCCTTGCTTCATATTCCAGCCACCTAGGCTTTTGCACACCATCCTCCCAGTCCTGCCCTTTTGGCAGAACATGTTGTGACAATAACTATAATCTAACCCCCAAACCAGTTGTTCTTTCTTTCTAAGAACATACCCCAGCCTCCCTTGCAGCTAGGTGTGATTGAGACTAGGCCTGGACAATGGGATGTGTGCTGAAGAACTTCACACAGACACCTGTGTGAGGAGGTGCTCCTCCGTCTGTAGATCTAAGGGAGACAACAGCAAGAGCCTTAAGTAACCTAGGTTTCTTTTCAACAGTACAACCCTATTTCCTCCATCTCCATTCCCAATTTATGACTCAAAGAAATTTTCTCTGGTAAGCCATTCAGGCTTAGCTTTTAACAAATCAACTGGGATATTACATCTCAAGCTTTTCTTTTCTTTTTTCTTTCTCCTTGTCCCTTGCCATACTTTTCCCAAATTCTACCCTCTAGTGTACCTATGTCAGAGACTGGCCATTGGGAAAAGTCGAAGTTCTGGTGGGTGATAAGGACATGAAATTGTGGGCTGCAGTTAATTTCACATGCTAACATGTGAGAATGTGAAAGCATATGCCATCATATGTGACATACTTTAGAAACTCAGTGAACAGTTCCATTTCTCATAGTTTGTGACTTTTGCAAACAAACTCTCAATGAAGTGGTATGGTTGACAAGTAATGATAACTAATCATCAGAACATATCTCAATTACCAGAGACTAGATTGAGTGATTCACATATATTGTCTCATTTGCACAATATAGCTTATATGATATGTGCATTTATTATTTCCATTCAATAGGTAAGGAAGCCAAAGCAAAGGACATTAAAGTTGTTTTCCTAATATTCTGTAGCTTCTAGAATCTGAACCAGAATTTTACTCTTTATTACCAATAGAACTGTGTATTCCATCTTCTACAATATCCCTTAAGTTTGATATAATTAATTAGTTATATTAAACTGGCTAGATGCTAACTTGGAATAATCTAATGCCTAAAGTTATTGATTGTAAAACTTCATGAAAATCCATAACAATATATCTGGTGGTAGCAAGGATGCAGACAATGGGAACACCCATACCCTGCTGCTAGGAATGTGAACTATGGAAATAAGCATGGAGATTCCTCAAAAAAAACTAAAAAATAGATGTATAATATGCATGTGCCTTCGGCATGTCCCCCAAGAGAGCACTAATCCAGTATACTCATTAGTTGGGACACTATAAATCCATTATTTGAAATATCCAGAAAACTTTTTGAACTAAAGAACCCTTGGCTCATTCCAAAACCTACTTAACCAGAATTTCTTGGGATTGCACCTTTGAGTCTGTAGTTTTTAAAGCTGTTCCTTTGACTTGCCCCATAATTGAACTTCAGAGCCCACTGCTGTATAGCTTTATTTAAAATGCTTTGCTCCCAACAGTATGATCAGTCACCCAGGAAGTAAATGGTTGTTTGGGAACTTAGCCTGGCAGCATTCTTAGCAGGTGGGTATGTCTTCAGTTATATTGATGTCTCAGTGTCACACAGCTAAGAAATAGAAGAATGCTTTATGAAATATGGATGCTGATGGCCTCAGACATCGGTGAGAACAGTGACAAACATACTAGTTATTTGGGGGCTGGGATTAGGCTTCAGTCTCTCTGCAGATGCTTCAGAAAGAAAAAGAAAACCCATTTTGCCAAATTTCCAAGTTGGGAGTGAGAGACACAGAAACAAACAAGCTAAGGTGCTGGAGCCCTCCAGTTTTCTTCTAATGCCTCCTCTCAAAGGGGAGCCTTCCTGGCCCACTGTTTCACTTCAGGTTAAATCAAGCATGCTTTGTCCTGCCATTAACTCCCTTTCAGATCTCTAACTCCAATGCTAGCAAACTATTCATACTTAGTAAGTGGATACCATCCTCAAACTGTAATCTTTTGAATACAGAGGTTGATTTTGGTTCATTCTTCTATACAACTGGCAGTTCTGGGTTTTCTTATAATAGCTGCCTTTAAGAACATGCTGAATGAATCAATGGACTCACACTCTGCTTCCCATGAATGGATTTACCAATGTAATAGTCATAAGATACACAAATAAAGCAAAAGGCCAGTTAATACATCACTTGGTTTTTTTCTGTAATGAAACTATTTAACAGAATCAAAATTTTAAAACTTTATTTTTACTAATTTTATATTTTTGATCTGTTAATTACTTAATATTCCTGTATATAAATATACTAACAAATAAAAATTAGACAAAATAGTTCTCATCTTTACTATTATTTATAATTGCTGCTAAATTTAGAGGACTATATTATAAAATTGTAATTGTAAACCAAAAATTAAGCATAAAACAGTAAAATATTTTAAAGATTTTAATATTTAAATTATTTAATATTTAAATATCTCTATTCATATAAAGTACTCCTACACATTTTGATATTTGTCTACTGATTAGATAGATTTCAGAAAACCTTTATAAATCAGTTGCCTTATTTTGGTTTCTACAAAAATGAGATGTTACTTTCAACTCTAATTCACCAAGATAAAGTTAATAACATAGTTCCATCTGGCTTCACTTGTCTCTGTAATCCTTCCATTTAAAAAAAAATATATATATATATCTTTTCTAAGGGGATCCGAAACATTTCTAGCCCCTGGACTGGGACTTTCAGAAAATGGCCCCAGGCCGACTCAAGCAAGTGCTAGATGATATGCTCTTAGTCAGCAGTGATCCCACATAGAAACTCTAAAAGATTAACATTGTTCTAATTAGAAAGTTTCTGTCCTCAGAGCAGAAGAATTGAAATTTTTCCCTCAGTCCTCTCAGTGACTGGTAGAAGTTCACATTAGCTCAGAAACTGGAATTCAGAACTTGGTTCTCCTGACTTCCCAGCAAAGTACTATCACCAGAAATGAGAAGGCTCAATTGAACAAAAACCTGTGGATTTTATTATGCTGCCAACTTTTGATAGAAATTTTCTAGTCAATGGAGAAGTGGAAAAAGACAGTAAAATACATTGTTGTTGTTGTTGTTGTTGCTGTTGTTTTTTGATCCCTTGGTTTTCCCTAAGAACAGGAGAAACGGCAACTAAGCATTAGTTTTAGTTTTAAAGTAGGGTTTGTTTACCAGAGGTCGTGCTGGGGACACCTGCAAGCTCAGCACTCCCAGTGGCAGAACTTTAAACCCATCCAGGGCCACAGGAGACACTGCCAAAGAAGAAGAAGAGAGGAGGAGGAGGCGGGGTGGAGAAGAAGGAGAAGAAGGAGGAGGAGAAAAGATAATAGTGTTTTTAAATGGGCTTAAATTGTTTCAAGTAAAACTTACTAATTTAAGAGATTCATCACAGAAAATTCTGGAGAAATATCACTTTAAATCATCAAGTAATAGAGAACTCTAAGATGCAAGATGGAATAAAAATGTTAATTCTATTATTGCTGTTACTGTGTGTCGAATTCATAAAACACCAAGAACACAGAATGAAATTCAAAACCAACAGTGTCTGTGAGTAAACAAGGATTCTCAAGAGGTGCACTTCTAAAGAGTTTGCAGGCTTAACCGTGATTGAAATTAGCCATGTTCTAGCAGTCTGCATGGTAACATCTTCTGTGGCCATCAAGTGTTTTATGCTCCTTCATTTTCCTTTCTGTTCAATGAATGGACAAACATATATGCCATCACCCTGAAAACCCTGGCCAGGGACCAACAGGTGACAGAGCCAATACGGAAGGCACAGAGTATGTAGAAAGTTAAGCACCAAGGGAAGAAAGACAGTAACCCAGCGAGCTTTAAAAGACAGCCAGCTTGAGCTGGTCTCTGGTGTGTTTTAACACCTTGAACTCAAGTCTGGAAATAATTGAACTTGATCTCAGCTGAGGTGGGGAGAACACACACACAGGTGGCCTGATTCCTAACTATTTCATGCCCAGTGAGTGGCACAGGTGTAGTAAGCTTTCTTGTCCGACTTCCTTTTAGGACCACCAGCTCCCTAATAGTGACATGGAGACTTATTATTAAAAATCCTGCCTAGCTATTGACCATTCAGCTCTTAATTAAACCAATCAGAAAGCACCTTGGCAAAGACACATGCATCTTCACAGTGTACAAATATTCTGCAAAGTCTTAAGGATTCTAGTCCTTCATTTGACCTTTTATCTCTTAAACTAAACATTAACTGCCCTGTTAATCCACAACAACATCTCTGGCTCCTTTTGCCTTACACTATAATATAACAAACTCTTAGCTATTGGTTGTTTTGATTTGCAGAGCTGTTGCTTTTAAATTTTTTTCATGTTCCCTAAGACCTTGGTTCTAAATCTTTGCTGTTTATTGTATCATGTGTATTTACTACAGAAGCACAAAAAAGTCAGATGATATGAAATACTGTCAGTTATAAAAACAAGATAAAAAATTAAATATGTGCAGTTGTTTGATCAACGTATGTTGATGTTGAACCAGAGAATAGCTATGTATTCAAGATTTAAGAGATAATAAAAATACAAAATGTTGAGAGTAAATAATGACCTGAAAGCTTTAATTAGAAGTGTTATCAGTTTTAGTGTACTCCACTGGTCCAGATTTTACTGGCTTAGAGATTGTAACTCTGAAATGACACAGATATTTATTACTACATTTGAAGTAATGATTGTTCAATCTGGAGAATTTCTTAAAGCAAAAATAATGAAGATTAAAATTGTTTGAGTGGTTTGAATTAAATGAGAACTTTGTGCTGTATTATTCTTCCAGAGAACTTGTTGATGAACACTACTGTATCAGTAGAAATCAAAAGCAAAACTTCAACAATAAGCCATAAAAGTATGGTGTTTTCATTGTCAAAATCTTATACGCACAAGCAATTATTTTACCAGTAATTCATGGAAGGAAAAATTCTTTAAAAATAGCTCACTGCTTCATATGACATCTATATAGTACAATTTTACTGATATACTTTTATTTGTTAATATTTATAAAAGATACTACCATTGAAGAATCAAGAAATATAGTTTTTTGTTTGTTTATTTTTTTTGTTTTGTTTTGTTTTTCAAGACAGGGTTTCTCTGTGTAGCTTTGTGCCTTTCCTGGAACTCACTTTGGAGACCAGGCTGGCCTCGAACTCACAGAGATCTGCCTGCCTCTGCCTCCCAAGTGCTGGGATTAAAGGCTTGCATTGGCTCAGCCGTTAAAGGCTAGGCTCACAACCAAAAATATAAGAAATGTAGTTTTTTAAAGCAACCCACATAAGCATATTTCTTATTTCCTAATAACAGTAAGGTTTAGCTGTTTTAAAATCTGCTTATTTGTGGATCTTGTTTTTAATTATAACCAGTATCTTTTATTTTAAGTCAGAAGAAGTACATAGATATGCCTTTATCATTTAAAATAGTACAATAATATATACCTGGACAGTTTTCCTTCATGGTTCATTTCTTCTACCAAACTCTTTTTATATGCATGATTGTAACTATTGGATATAATTATTAAACATTAAATATTTGTCATTCTAGTATAAATATGACTGTTCATAATGATTAGCCCAAATTCCTTTTTATACAACAATATGTCTTGAATGATTTTCATACAAATATATAGAAGCTCACCATATTTCACCATCAAAGCAGTACATTACTCCATAGCATAGATGTTCCTCAGTTGTTAATCATCTTCACTGAAAGAGTTTACACTCTTTCAAACAATGCAGTGTCAAACATTCTTATATATACATTTGATTATGTGCATAAGTTTTGGCTTCTGTTAGTTTTTTTATATTAACATACAATGTATAGTGCTAAGTATCTCCTGATAGTTACCATGCAAGTGTATCCCCCATACCAGTACCAAGAGGTGATGTAGTTCCTTATCATTCATAGTTGGAAATATTACTTATCTTCAGATTTTAACACAACAGCAAGTGACAATTATTCATTTTGTTTTAATTTGCTTTCTGGAGCTATCAATGAAATTAACTTTATTTAATGTGTATATCACCGCTTTATGTCTTTCCTGACTCTTTTTTTTTTTTTTTTTGGAATTAAAATCTTGTTAATATCTACGATAGCTAATGATCTCCATACTAGTATTCTAATTAAGATAATGTCTTGGCAAATTTTTTTTTCTGTTTTTTTCAAGACAGGGTTTCTTTGTGTAGTTTTGGCGCCTGTCCTGGAGCTTGCTCTGTAGTCCAGGCTGGCCTCAAACTCACAGAGATCCACCTGGCTCTATCTCCTGAGTGCTGGGATGCAGAAATTTTTTAAGCCAAAAGCCAAAGTATCAAATTGTCTGACAATACTTACTAATCTCACAGTCCTTTAATAACTCATGTCTCAAAGTGAAGTATCTCAAAAAAAGTCACATAAAACTTACTCCATACTGACCTACAATGCCTGGATATGGGGACAAAAAGGGCATGTTTATAGTATTCCTACCAAAATTCTTGTGAAAAATAAGTTCATCAGGAGTTACCCAGACATGCTTTGGACTTTTTCACATTAAAAAAAAAAAATAAAGGTAGGGTCAGTAAGATTGCTCAGGAGATACAGGTGTTTGCCCCATCTTTAACTACCTGTGTTCCATCCTGGACCTACATGGTGGAAGGAGAGAACACACAGAACTTGTCTTCTGGCTTCTGCACATACTGTGACATGTATAACTCATACATGTACAAAGAAATAACGTAATAAAGAGTTTATGTAGAATGTGTCCTAGCATAAATAACATAAATTTTTCAATACTCTTGGAAACTAAATCAAGACACAGAAATAAAACTGAATAGCATTCACAAGGTCTCCTCAATGGAGAAACAGGTTGGACACTTAGAAATTTATACCTTAGAGAGTTATCATACTTTTGCTTCATGGGAGAGCTGTTTAAGAAATTGCTGTTTCAACAATTCACACACAACCAAATCTTCTAGATTATCTTTCCTTTTTAAAAGCTGTCTTTAGGATGGCAACTTCCTTCCATGAAATAAAAATTCTGAAGATCCAAGTCTGTAAGGGGATGATGGGCCTCACGGACAGACAGGGCAGAAAGCTGGGACACACAGGCACTGCAGAGGCATTGCCGGGTACAAGAGCAGGGAAAGAGAGGACATGTAGCCAAGTAAAGCAGGAAAGACTAAGAAAACGTCAGTTTGAAAATAAACTAATATTGGATAAGCGATTGGTGTGCTCTTCCACGGGGAAGACCATCTCTCCTGCTCTCAGGTTTTCTTTGCTGTCTCTAGTTCTTTGTGTAGGGTTGAGGCCTCCTGGGCTTCTCCACCCACTCCACTCCACCCTTACCCTACCACCACCATCCACACTATCGTGTCTATTTTTGTTGTCCTTGTGCCACTCACATTTAGGAAGTCATACTGGGGAGACTTTATGGGTGCAGCAACTGATGTTCCTAGCAGAATCTCCCAGCAAACTCCTGGATCCTCTGGTTCTTACAGTCTTTCTACCCCCTCTTTTATAATGATCCCCAAGCCTTAGGGAAGGAGTTGTATTGTTGGACACTAATAATCCAGTTATTGCAGCTTTTCCATCTGTCTTTAGCACTGGTCCACTCTCCATGGTCTAAACTTTCCATGCATGCAGAATGATTTGCTGGACTACTTCTGGGCCCATCTAGCAAGTCTGTATTTGTAGTCCAGGATCTCAGCAGGGATGGTACTGCCATTCTTTTCTATTTCCACTGCTCCTTTCTGACCATCTTGAACTTTATGTGACTCACGGATCACGTTTGCTTACAGAACCAGTTTCCTTGATGTATCGTTATGTAACTCGTCTATGGTCATTGAGCAGATTCAGAACATTTTTCACTTCTCAACTATCTCCTCATCTTTCTTCTTCCTCCAAAACACACACCAAAGATGTCCATGTAAGCATGTGAGAACTTCCTACACTTAAGATGTCTGTTTAAACTCTTCTCCATCATGTGGATTCTTATCAAGGCCACTTTCCTAGAAGCCTTCACAATTTTCCTTAGTAACATTGTGTTTCTATATGGTCATTGTTATTGTTTATACAGTAAATGTTTCTAAGTTGCCTTCAAATACTTTTAAGTTAAAAATATCTTAATGATACTACAGATTCCTAAATTTAAAGTTTAAGCTACAAGTAGCTCCATAAAGATAGTTTAGTTTAACTATAAACGTCAGTTTAAAAATCTTATCCTAATTCCTACATTAATGTGAAAACCCAATCTTCAATCAAAACCAAACAGATGTTTTGTCAATGGCACTTGGTTATATAAAAAATAAGAAAGTGTGAAGTATATTTATAATTCATTCTGTTTGGTCTACTCTTTTAATAAACTGAAGGATAAAACTTTAACTTAAAGGAACCTATTAGGGTAATGTGCTTAGGCAAGTCTTCCAGAGTGGTACAGCAGACTGGCCATAGGCTCTGCCATTACAGATCCAGGTTTCAGTCAGTGACCTCAGTTTTATTGGGAGGAACCTACCTTGCACTCTTGTACTGACTACATAAGGATGAGAAACCAAACATGAAAAGGGTTAGCATATGTGTGGTCAGGGATGTGTATACAGACTTGGGTCACACTAGTACCATACTAAGTATTTTCAATGGATATGGCTCTACCACACATTCTACTGTTGTGGGATAATCTTCTTGTACACTGTAAAGACGTGTCTCTGCTTAAGATGCCTTCTGCTTGGTTTAATAAAAAGCCAAATGGCCAATAGCTAACCAGGAGAGGACAGGCAGGACTTCCGGGCAGAGAGGGAACTCTGGGAAGAAGAAAGGCAGATTCACCAGCCAGACACAGGGGAAGCAGGATGTACAGTATGGAGATGAAGTAATCAGCCATGTGGCAGAATGTAGATTTAAAAATGCCAGTTAATTTAAGTTATAAGAGCAAGTTGGAAACACGCCTAAGCTAAAAGTCAAGCCTTTGTATTTACTACATCTCCATGACATTATTTTTAGGCCCGCAGTCCCACAAAGGGAAGTCCGACTACAACCTATCCCACAGGTACTCAAATTGTGTTCACTTTCTGTGACTCTTCCCAAATTAACAACTTGTCAAAGATGTAGACACAAACTGCTTAAGTCCAGAACTCAAACTTTGAACTTTGACTAGCCTTTCTCTTCTTGTAGAATCAAGTAGATAAGAATTGTAGATTCTGGAGTGGAATCTGAAAGATTAACTTTGGATCTTATCAAGTTGCTTAAACTCCATAAGCTCCATTTACCTTATCATTACATTAGGAATAGTGAGACCTACCAAGTAGCCTATTTATGAAATACTGGTAGTTCTGGAACACAATAAATACTTAGTGAATGCTAACTAAATATAAAGTGATCTTAAAATGGTTAATCTTAAAAAGTTAATCTCTCCCCTTGTAACTTTATGAGATTGTATATTTTTTAGCAAATTTCAATATGTTGGTGATGATTACAACTTTGTTTATTCAAAAATAGTAATGTTGACTTAAATATTATTTTTTTGAAAATATTGAAAAAATAGTATAATGAGCATCATTCACATAAATTCAACTACAAAAAAAATCTCAAACTGCAAACACAAGCCACACTACTGTCTGTTTCCTGTGTACAATTTGCTAAAAGTGTTTTAAAGTAAAATGCACATATCAGTCAATTTTCCCAAGTTTTTTTAGCAGATATTTCCTGAGGATAAGAACATGTTCCTATATAACAATATTAACATCATTAAACATAATAAAGTTAACTTAGATAAATACTAACACTTCATGTGAAATTTATATCCAATTTCCTGAGCTATGCCCAACCTCACCTCTCTACTACCACAGAGATGACCACTGTTCACCTTTAATTTTGGACCTAATACCAATCCTACACTACATTTGGTTGCCGTGTCTTTTTGACAAAGAAATAGAACAGTCTTGTTTATATTTTCATGTTACTGATGTTGGTCATATATTTGATAACAGTTATAATTTATAAGGGAGAACTTGAAACTGAATCTTATGTAGTACAGGATAACTTCAAACTTGCTTTTAGGTGATCTTAAACTTCTCATCTTCCTGCCTTTGTCTCCAAAGCTCTGGAATTACAGAACGAGCATGTGCAATCATGCCTAGATAACAGTTTAAATTATGATTTTCTCAGTGATGTGTAACAGATTCCAAATAGTTGAAAGGTTTAGTAAATACTATGTGTATTAAGATATAGTCCTCCATTAGAGCCCTGTTCCTTGGCGTATGGGGGGGGGGGGAGGTACACAGATAGCTCAGGGCCTGTGATTAAGCCAGCTGCTGCAAACAGACTGCACCCCAGGACACATCTCTGTCTTTCACATTTCTATTCCCATTAAGCTCTGAGCATTCAACAGCCTTTTCTAGCCCCAAACTCCAAAATCCCTCCACAGTTTTCTCAAAAAGCAACATGGTCAGATTCATCACAGCAAAATTAGAAAGGATGGGGCTAGGGTCCTTGAAGCTCCTGATGACCTTATTTCTGTTCATCAGGCACAGCTCTCAAGGGTCTTACTTACCACCTCTCCAAATGAGTCACCAGTTAGTGGTATGTGAGGATATTCCAGATTTAAACTGTAGCAGGTGCTGTGGGAGGAAGGCATTTTCAGGCCCTGGAGAAGGAAGCACTCTCCACTTACAGGGAAGGGGCTCTCTACAGTTCTTTATGATCAGGGAAATGTTTCTGCTAAGCAAATATCCTTACTCTCTGGAAACTAGTACAGCAGAGTGTTGATGTTGTAAGCATATTACCTGTGTTTTCTGGCAAACTGGGAGCCTTAGATACGGTGATTCTCTGGAATGATTTGTAGAATCATAAAACTTAGCAACCTCAGAATTCTCAAGCTTGAACTCCCCGAAAAGTAAAGCAGTTTGGATACCCTCTTCAGCTCAGGTAGATAGATACACACATCCGTTGCACTCTATGAAGGGAAGGCTTTCAGAGAAGCTGTGGAAATCAGGCTGGAATGTTTGTGCAGTAACTGAAGGAAATGGAGCTCACCAGCATCCTAAGTCTACAGCACTCTTCAGTAGGGCAGTTCCGGTAGGCTTGTATTTTCTTGCTGAAGACTACACTGCTCTTAAATAAACATGATTACAGGCTAGAAAAGCTACAGACTGCTCCAGGTGCTAAAAATAAAATAGTTAAAATGGAGAGACTTCAATTAGATGCGGGCTGCTCAACAATTTAACTTCCAATTGCCTTGTGGTTATTCCACAAGTGGGATTTGACCATGTTCCATTTACAGGAGACTGAAGGTCTCGGAGAAAAATAAGAAATGAAGTCCTTGTTTTCAAATCCTGATCTCTAGAAAAGTGAGCAAAAATAACCATATTTCTACTCTAATATAAATAAAATGTAGAATCACAAGTCATGTCAGAATTTTCTCCTCTCAAAATAGTTGAATATTCTCTGAGGAGGATAGCAGACTTGTATATTAGTATGCTATTTCTATCAAAATACTACAATAACAGAGGCAAGTGATTCCTTGGTTTTTGTTTACTTGTCTTGTTTTTCAGACAGTCTTACAAGGTAGGGGATGCTAGCTTTGAATTCCTCCTGGCCCCACCTCTGAAGTTCTGACATTACAATAGTCCTTAGTAAAATAAAATATATTTCTATTTTTCTTAGTTTCCACTTGTGTCAACTATATATTTATCAATCTGGGAATTTTCTAGCTCAATTTTGATAGCTTTAGAATATGCCATTATTTTATAAAAGAAACCTATTTTGACTCTTTGTGTTTTATTTGGCTTTTGATAGTGAGTTGAAAATAAGCAATGGATCACTTGATATGGTGGTGAAAGGCTATTTTTAAAGAGAACAGTCAAGTGAATAATATAGAATAAATACACATGTATAAAAAGGCAATTATGTATATTTATAGCTGGCTACCCCCAGACCTAAATTCATAGTTATTTGAATTCACATGACACTTAGATATTATTAGCAGTCAAATCCCAAGTACACTGAAATAAGGTCTAGATTACTGGGTGGGGTCTGTGAACAGAGTTTGAAGCAACTGAAATGAGTAGCCCAGTTCTGAACATGGCCTTCATGGTATGTTTGACTGACAAGATCCCCTCACAGCCTCTCTAGCTACCCTTTATACATTAGCATTGCTAAGAGCGTCAATCTTATTTGCCGTTTCCACTTTCATTTTGCTGTTTTATTGGGGGTATCTTTGCATTTTGCTATACTCAACATCTAATTACTAAGTTCTCAATATCTCTCTGTGGGTGGATATGTTTTAATATGTGTACATATTGATATTATATATAATATGAATAAAGAAAGAGCCCTAAAATAACACTAACCTGAATAATTTTTATATCCAGCTGATGTTTCAACAATACACAACTACTATAGCACTCTGGAGGTAGCCTCCAGAAAGTTATATTTGTATAGAACTTCAGACAAGCTACTGATGGTGAGGTGGCTTAGAGATTGAGAGCACTGGCCACTCTTGCAGAAGACCTGGGTTCGATTCCCAGCACCCACAGGGTGGCTCACAACCCTCTGTAACTCCAGTTCCCTCTTCTGGCCTCCACAGACACCAAGCACACACATGGTACACCTACATACATGTAAGAAAGATATCCATACACATAAAATAAAATGTTTTTAAATTGCTAAAAAAAATACATTTCTAAACTTAAATTCTCCCTCCTACTTTATTTTTCAATTGTGAACATCCATTCAGTTACCTAATATAAAAATTAAGGTTTAATCAATATTGTTAATTTTTCTCCTTTATCCATCTAAGATATTGCTCATGGAGTGAGGGTTTTAAATTACCTTTTTGTTTTTGTTTCTACTGTTGCATTTTGTCTCATTTGGAGCATTGATGTCACCTTCCAAGTGAGTTTTTTTTTTCAGCTAAAAAACAGCATTTTAATTTCTGAAATCCACAGAGGCCATGTCTAACAGAATAAAAGCCTGAGGAAGAGGGTTTAGTATCCCAAGATTTTCACACAAAATAAAATCAGAAATTTGCCCCACATATGCCTAAAATCAGCATGATTTTCTATATACAGAAACACCTAACCTAAGAACCAATAATTGCAATAAATATGGCGAATTGATGGCACAGTGAGAGCACGCATCTTTTTGACAATGAACAGAATTCCCATAAACACACAGCAAAGAGAAAACACAGAGAAATGTGGCATCTGCTATGATTGCTCAGCTATTTACCAACTGTTTTCTTTTTCATTTATTTATTTATTTATTTATTTTATTTTACAATACTATTCAGTTCTACGTAACAGCTTGTTCTCCCCCTTCCTGCCCCCCTCCCCTTCCCCCCAGCCCACCCCCCATTCCCACCACCTCCAGATCAAGGCCACCCCCAAGGACTGAGATCGACCTGATAGACTCAGTCCAGGCAGGTCCAGTCCCCTCCTCCCAGATTGAGCCAAGCGTCCCTGTATAAGTCCCAGGTTTCAAACCTGGATCAAGAACAGAGAGGGAGAACAAGGAATAGGAGACCATGGTAAATGAAGACCACATGAGAAAAGGAAGAAACAAAGTGCTAAAGAGGCCCACAGAAATCCACAAAGATATCCCCACAAAAGACTGCTGGCAATGGCCGAGAGACAGCCGGGACTGACCTACTCTGGTGATGGGATGGCCAAACACCCTAATAGTTGTGCCAGAAACCCCATCCAAGTACTGAGGAATCTGGATGCAGACATCCACGGCTAGGCCCCAGGTGGAGCGCTGGGAGTCTAATTAGCGAGAAAGAGGAGGGTTTATATGAGCGAGAATTGTTGAAACCAAGGTTGGATAAAGCACAGGGACAAATAGCCAAACGAATGGAAACACATGAACTATGAACCAAAGGCTGAGGGCCTCCCAACTGGATCAGGCCCTCTGAATAGGTGAAACAGTTGATTGGCTTGATCTGTTTGGGAGGCATCTAGGCAGTGGTACCACGTCCTGGGCTCGCTGCATGAGATAGCTGTTTGAAACCAAGTGAGTTCTTGATTTCAGTCTTCTCCCTCCACATGTTTACACTAGCTGAAAATCGACATGAGTTGGTGTGTGCACACCAACTCCAGTCTAATCCCCAACTTCTCATTTTTATTTCCCAACGTTTTGGTACAATTCTTGCATCACTCTCCCATGCCTCTGTCTTCCCCCTTACTGCTCTGTCATCCAGAAGTGACTTCCTCCACTAGCTGGGTCAGTTATCTCTCTGTTCACCATTTCTCCTCAGGTGTCTCTGTGAGAGAGGCTTTCCTTCAGTCATAGGAAATTAGTTATCCCACTCATTCTGACTAGCAAACTTTTCTAAACGAACATGAAAGCAAAGAAACTTTATCTGTTTGGCTATTGCTAAGTGGTTGCCTTATTTGTGTATGGTCCACTCTGTTGGATACCAGTAATGGCTAAAACTCACATAATAGTGGTAGGCTGATATCTGACTATTTGGTGTTTACACATATATCCTTAGGTCTTGATCTGTTAAGTAAATTTAGTTACAGTTTATTTGTATAGGAATTTAAGATACAGAGAGAACTTCAGACAAATAACTGCAGATTTAATTTGACAGTAGCTTTAAGGTTCTAATATTTGATTTCCAATCTGGCACACCAATGAAGGCAAAAGACAGAGCCATGTAATTTCAAGGCCTCTCTTTATGGCCCACCCAGCAAGGCCATCAGTACCGTTTCCCAAGGATCAGCGCTCAGAATGGTAAAGTGAATTCTTATTTACATTCAAAGTGCTCAGAGTCCAGCCTAGATATGAAGTCGTGGAAGAGGATCCCTTCCAGTGGGAGGCATGTCAAAGGATTTTTTAGTCCTTTAAAATTTGCCACCAAGTCAGACATTTTACATCAGTAGCATGTATGTGATGATGTTGCAATGGTGTAGTAGCTGGCTGTCTACATACCAGGCTAAACTCTTTCAAGCCTAATGGCTCTACAGCATTCAGCTTTGTTTTCCAGCGTGCAAAACTGTCCGGTTTGATGCTGTTGTTCCTTGCCCTGCCGGAAGAGGGGGAAAGTGCAGCCCAGTCATAGGGTGTGACATTATGTATGAAACCCTTGGGCTGCCGTTCTTCAATTCTAAACACCAGCGAGACGTGACTTTAGTTCTGTGACTTTCACCACCCCCACATGAGCCTTTTTGTCTGTGTTTAAAGCCCAGAGCCTGTAAAAAATCTCCTCCCTCCTCTTTTCAGTGGTTCTAGATTACGAGCTCTGAAGAGCAAAATCAAAGTCAGAAATTCTCTACCGTCTGATTCTGATGAGCAAAAATGGAGTCCGGATTAAAGAAAGAGAAATTTAAAGAACAGCGACTAAGCAGCTAGCTTTAAAAGAAAACTTGTTCCGGAAGCTAAATAAGGCACCCTAGGGAAGAGACATTGGCTGTATTCACTCAGGAACTGCTGGATGATGCATGTAGTTTGGTGGCTGCTACTCTACCCTGCAAGTTCAGTTGTTTGTTTGTTTGTGTTTGTTTTGTTTTTAGCTAAGTTAACAAAAAATAATTTATTGAAAGTTAAAGATGTTTTGTACAGACTCAAAGAGGTCATTGTTGTTTTTTTTTTTTTTCAAACCTAGGAAGATTTAGAAATCAGGACATATGCAAAAGGCTATAAACTGAGGATCTCGAGCCCCACAACCCATGTAATTCAGTGCAAAAACAAAATCTTAGGAGCAAGGAGTTCAGTTGGTTAAATCAAAGGTAATTTTCCAACCTTTAGAGGGAAGAGGACAAGGCACTTAATTGCACCATTTCTCTCTTTTTAAAATGTATTTGATTTTATTTATTGAAAATAGATTCTTTTCTCATATAATATATCCCAAACACAGTTTCCCCTCCCTCTACTCCTTCCAGCTCCCATAACCTTCCCTCTTCTCCACATCTACTGCCCTCAATTTACCTTCAGAAAAAAGACCTCCAAAAGATGAAAGCCCCTCTTCTGAAGGGTTCCCTGATCTCCAATGGGAGGGATCCATTGGAGACCTACAATTTAGACTCTCTTTCTCCACAATGTCTGGCTTTACTCAAGCATTTTGTATTGCTTATTTG